AAAAAAAAGAAACACTCTGCTTTGAGGAGAAAGCTGTAGAGTACCACGTTCCAGAAAGTTGGCAGTGGCCACATCAGGTTCCAGAATGGCAGTGTTATAGATAATCTGCTCCTCAAAATCAGGTTCAGAGTACTCAGCAATCCAGGCACTCAATCCCTTCAGCCAAGAGAAAAGAAAACCTGGCTATTGCTCAGCAGTGGACCTTGGCATCATCCACATGGCCCTGATTTTAGGCACATATAGAATGCCAGAGTTCTGAGGTTAAGAGGCTTCCACTTAGATTCAAGAAGGTCTGGGAGGCCAGGCAGTGTGCCCCTGGGAGGGCAATGTGTGAAGGTGAGTATGAAGCCAAAGTTGCAGTGGAGACTCCAGAAGTTTGAAGAAGCCAGAAACATGGATCATCTAAGGAAAGATGCAAGGAGGGAGCAAGGCAGGCCTAAGAGAGATGCCATGGGAGCTACAACTACTAGAAGTGCCAAAGGAGCAGAGCCATGTAAGGCCTTTGGAGCTCACAATTTATCACAGATTGCTTTGGATGTTCCACATGGAACTATAGGACTTAATGTTTGCCCTGCTGGATTTTGGTCTTGCTTTGGTCCCAATGTTTTATATCCCCTTGTTTGTATGTTTTGGAATGGTAGTGTTTTTCCTGTGCCACTGAATGTTGGAAGCGTTTTAACTTTTCATTTACGTGGGGGCTCACAGCTAAGAGTTTGCCTTAGGTCTTGAAGGAGACTTGGGACTTGGACTTTCCAGCAATGCTGAAACTGTTAGGACTTTGGCAACTCTTAGAGATGGACTAAAATGATTTTTGCATAAAGGAATGTACATGAGTCTTTGGGGGGGGTCAGAGGTGGAATGTTATGGCTTGTGTCTAGCTATCTTCCCCAAGACCTCATGCAGTTATGGGGGGAGAGGGTTGCTTCTAGAGTTTGTGACTAATTCATGATCCAATGCTGGGATTATGGGTGTGAGTGGTACACTTGCCCTAGGGCAGATAGCCTGAATGCAATACAAGGAAGGGAGACAGACTTTTTCTGTCACTGCTCCTCCCTTTTTGTTCTTACTATTTCGCTGTTTTCCACCACCATGAACTACTGTCCTTTGCTATGTTCCTTGGAGTCAGCCGGGTATGGACTGAAACCTCTACAAACTGTGAGCTAAATAAACCTTTCCTTCCTTAATTTTAGGTGTTGGATATTTTGTCCCAGCAACAAGAGAAAAGTAACTGAGATAGCTTTAAAAACCCTGGGCTCTGATGCTGGCTACTAGCTCTGTGAGCTGCAGCATATGACTACCCCTCTTCACGGCTCTGTTTCCAATCTGGACGGTGAAATAAGAATATTATCTTTACCCAGACATGCTGGGAAATGAGATGAGATGATGTAGCACATAAACTCGGTGCACAGTTTAACTTGGAGTTCACTTACATGTTCACTCCTCTTTTTAAATCCTAATTCAAGTAATAATTCCAAATTAAACAGGACTTCTTAACTAACTTCTCCCATGGCATCCTTTTATTTTTTTGCGGTAATGGGGATTGAACTCAGGACCTTGCACTTGCCAGGCAAGCACTTATTCTACTGAGCTATCTCCCAAGTCCCGTTTTTTCTTTTTTCTTTCTTTCTTTCTTTTTGTTTTTATCAGTTTTCTTTGCTTTTTCTGTGTTTTGTTTGTGGAACCAGGGATTGAACTCAGGCCCTTGCACTTGCCAGGCAAGCACTTATTCTACTAAGTTATCTCCCCAGCCCTCCAAGGCATCCTTATGAAGCTATTAATATATCAGTAGTAGCTAATACTGAATAAGCACTTATGAAATGTTAAAACTGTGCTGAAACCTGTATAGGGATTACCCTTGGAATCTTAGAAAAAGCCATGGAGGCTGAGAACATTACATCCCCATTACAGATAAGCACACTGCTTCTCAGAAAGGCCAAGGCATGAGCTGCACCAGTTTGCAGAGTACGCAGGGAGGATGGACACATGCACATTTCTTTTATTCTGGGATGGAAATGCTCAGAATCCTGAGAAGTACAGCAGCTTCTCTGGCCAGAATTTATTGACAATGTGCTAATAAGCTAATTCACCTTTCATCTATTCTTTCCTGACCATCTCTGGCTCCTAGTCAGAAAAACAGAAGAGGTCTTTTTAAAATTTTTATATTTTAACTTACCCACTCACAGTCAATTCCAAGCACTGGGAAGTCTTCTAACCCACTGCAAAGCAAGGGCTGGATTTGATCCCACTCTGCCTCCTGAGACACTGTCACCACCTTTGCCTGGAGGATCCTCTCCTCCCATGAGGATCTGGGAACCCCAGAGGGTAGCTGGTCCTCTTCTGCTGGGGGTGGCACCGTCTTTCCTGGCACTTGTTGCTCTGGCTGCGGCTGTTCCTGGGCCTCGTGGCACGTCTTCCTCCGGCGCTGGATGCCTCTCCACAGGACAAGCCCCCCCACTGCCACACCCAGCAGGGTGGTCACTGTCAAAGCCATCAAGTTCTGTCTAGACATGTTCAACCTTTTACTGTTTAGGAAAGCATTTCACTAAACACACAATCTGCAAAACAAATAGCAAAAATATATTTACATACAAGTAAACAAGTATTCTTCTAAAATTTCATTTATAATCCCTGGACTTACAAACTATCTGCTAGAAATTTTCACATGAAACTATAATATTTTAATTATTTTCATTTTTCTAATTTTTATTCTATGTCTACTGTCAGCCTTGCCCAAGATTCTCTTAATGATATAAAATTGTATCAACTAAAACAGAATAAGCTAGACTCTTACTTGGGATTATTAGCAAATGAATTGTTTAGCTATTGGTAACTGAAGTGTTCTTCAAAGTGTTTGCAGTTTAAAAACTTTAATCTCCTCTCAGTTGAATGAAACCTTTACTTCTCGATTAAGCAAAGACTCTTAATGATCAGTGAGTTGGTAGGAAGGTTGCTCTGCTCTTCTGGAAGGAAATGGGCCTTTCCAGTGTTCCTGAAGTGGCACAGATCTCCACAGAAACCAATTCAATTACCAGAGAGTAAGGCAACTCAATTTAAAAGGGCAAAAGGAGGGCCAGGGAGATGGCACAATAGAACAAGCACTTGCCTGGCAAGCACAAGGGTCTGAGTTCAATCCTTGGTTCCACCAAAAAAAAAAAAAAAAAAAAAAAAGGCAGAAGGAATGGGGAAGAGAAAGAATGGCACTTAGAAGTCTAAGATGGGGCTGGTGAGATGGCTCAGTGGTCTAGGGCACCTACTTGGAACAAGCTTGGCAAAGCACAGGGACTGCAGTTCGATCCCCCAGCACCACATGCCAGCCAGCCCCGCCCCCTGGTGGGCTGAGCTGGCCACACACACACACACACACACACACACGTAAATAAATAAATGTTTTATAAAAAAAAAAAAAAAAAGAAGTCTAAGATGCTCAAAAGGTAGTTTCCCCTGAAATGTCTACAGGGCCAGGAGGTTAATGTGAATAAATGAAGCCTGCCATGAAATGGTCGCTTTTCTGTGTCACTACATGTGGCTTTTTCCATGTTTCATTTGCTTTACCATGTTTGAGAGATGCCTGAGGGCCAGGGAGATGGCTCAGTGGAATAAGTGCTTCCCTGGCAAGCGCAAGGGTCTGAGTTCAATCCCCGGTTCCGAAAAAAAAAAAAAGAGAGAGAGAGAGAGATGCCTGAGTACCCAGGACTATTTTAGTGCTATTTGAAAAACTCAGCAATAATGTGATAATCAATGGTGAGTGGCCCCCACCTCAGGGGTAACAAAGCCTTGAGCAGTGACTGCTTGGTACAAGCTGTGTGGGAGTCGGCCCTGCATAGATACCAGGCCTATTCAGGAGAACTTCAGGATCTGAATCTCACAGGGAATGCCAGCACGTTTACCTGTTGACAACAAATGTATAGTTTCCTAAAGTATTGTGTCAGTCCAACAAAAACAAGACTGCCCAGAGACAGAGCAATCTGTGGCACCCGCCTGAAGCCACATCTCTGTGACTTGGGTTCCCACTGGATGTGCACTGTCTTAACCTTGTTCTTAACGTTTCATAGCACCACAGCCCCCCTGAATTGTATTATACCTACAGAGGTATTCAGCTATCAGAAATGAAAAATGGAATCACAATAATTACAACAAAATAAAACGTGCTAATAGCTATACTGTTTTTTTAATTTACATTCTGTGTTATTTCATATGTATTTTTTCCTGTATTTTTATTGATGAATCAGACTTAATGAAATTAAGACATTTAAAAACAAACAAACAAAAAAAACCCTCTTAAAGGAGCTGGAGAGATAGCTCAGTAGAATAAGCGCTCACCTGGTAAGCACAAGGGCCTGAGTTCAATCCCTGGTTCCACCAAAAAAAAGAAATTAAGTCATTTTTGTAAGAAGAGGAAAAGAAGTAGAAAAAGAAGAGGGAAAGGAGGGAGAAGGCAAGAAGGAGGAAGAGGAAATCACTGGGCACCACACATAGAACAGGGAACACACAGTAGGCGAGATATGAAGCCGGGCAAGCAGTACAACTCACAGCAGCCCCAGCACTCGGGACCATCACCAACCTAGGGACCACTGTCTAGGCCACGTGCTCAGGGCACACTGGGACCCAGCAAAGTGCTGCCCTGCCAGAAACAGGAACTAGAAAGCCTTCACCTACTGTGGCCCAAGTAAAGGACCTTTATAGGATAGGAGGCCACAGAGGCTCCCAGAGTAGGACACATCCTCAAGGCTACAGAAGGTACAGTT